GAACAGCAACTGAAAATGGCCGAACAGAGCACCAGAGAGAATGAGACCTTACCCACGATCTTAGACCCCACAACCTGCGTCAAGAAAGGTCTCTGCACTGTCGCTACTGGTCGCGCCGTACAAACTCATCAACTCTATTACGAGCTCCATGGATCACTCAATGGGGCTCAGAAAATGCTCTTCGGTTCGTCTTATTTTGCCTTTTTTTTGCTGTTACAGTCTTGACTTGTAACACTAATCTGCTTTTTCTTTACTTTTTTTTCGACAGTCATGGGTACATGAATATTTTTTTTCTTCACCTGATTCTCTTCTCCTATTCTTCTTCTTCAATCTAATAAAAACCAAAAAGAAAATCTAATCCAACAAAAAAAATGTGATTGCAAAATTACATAGGTCTAAATAATTCCTGTTCAGGATGGTCGAATCAAGTCAAGCATTTCTCAAGAAAGCCAGATCATTCGGTCCTAGTATTTGACAACCGAGGGGTAGGAAACAGCGAGTAAGTTATATATATGTACATCCGAATCGATGTAAAAAGAGTTAACTGACGTTTGAAAAAAAAATGATTACAATGTATTGCAACCAGTGCGGGACCATTAGGGATTTACAAGACCTCAGAGATGGCCAAAGACACGGTAGATCTGATGGAGTATTTGGGATGGACAGAGGAGCGATCTGTCCATCTCTTTGGGGTTTCCATGGGCGGGATGATCTCACAAGAACTGGTACCCCTTGTTTTTCTTCTCTCATTCATCTCCCCCTCCCTTAAGAGTCTCTCAAAAGAGACAGGAAGAGAGAGATGGATTACATCATCTTGAGAGATATTGATTCTCTTCGTTTCGGTTCTTTTAGTGTTTGTTGGTCCCGAAACGCTTCAAGTCGGTTAGCTTCATTAGCACCAAGGCCGGTAATAAGTTCGATCTCCCTTCGGTACGTCTGTTTTCTGATCATCAATCACTCACTTGGGGTGTGTCTGAGCGATCCAATCGACACCTGTTTTGACTTTTTTTCATCAACCTGAGAGAAAACATTTGAAAAAAGTGATAACTGATGTTTCTCTATGATCCCCTCCTGATTTTTGAAAATTCAAAAAACAAAGATGAATGGACTATACAGCTTAACGCGATTATTATCGAGGACGCTCACAGAAGAACAAAGCATAGAGATGTTAATGAACATGTTATTCCCAGCGGAGTTTCTAGCGCAATCGACCGAGGGAGGGGGGACGAAGCGAGACGAGATATACGAGTCGTTAGTCCAGCGAGTACGCAAGACACGGAAGCAGCCGGCGAGTGGAGTTGTAGGCCAACTGAGTGCGGCGCTCAGTCATTCCTGTCCAACGGCCTCGTTGGCCCGCATTGCCCGTGAACTCGAGCCCGCTAAAGTCCTCGTCCTCACCGGTGACCTCGACCAACTCATCAACCCTCTCCGAAGCATCGAACTTCATCAGGCTCTGCCTAACTCTGAGTATCTCCTCATCCCTGGCGCTGGTCATGCAATCTGCTCTCAACTTCCTGAACAGTCTAATAACATCCTCGAACGTGTTATGGATGAAGGCAATCGTGCCTTTTCTTAAGCTTTTTTTTCAAGATTTCAACTGTGTATCTTCTTCATAACTCTATATAACATATGATGTGAAAAAGCAGACTTTTGCCTCTTTCAACTATTGTACATCAACTCATCAATTTTTTTACTTTTTAATCTAGGAAGGCACTTTATTAACCTTGTGTAAATTTACAAAATGTAACAAGGGACATGCAGACACTACCCTCAGAAAAACCATTTGTATGTATGCACTTACAAACAGAAAAGAGAGGGGGAAAAAAATTCCCGCTCCAGCAAGGATATTGGGCTATTAATTTAACCAAGCTGCTGATGGTTTGATCCTGACGAGGACGCTTCCCAAAGTGTGTACCAACATGAAGCCAAACCCCAAGTCAATTGGACATCCCTCAAAGCAAGTAATTCAGCCTTCAAGGTGAGATGAGCTATGATCCGGCACTCCTGTTTCTTACAACCCTCCTGTCACACATAGGTAATTGGGTGTGATTAGGGTTCAGGGTTGATGAACATGAAGCAAGAAATAGGTCATATGTATGTGAGCTGATATTTTACATGTTTGATGATTTCTGTTACCACAACAAATTTTGGCTAAATCATGATTTCTATTTAGCTGCAAAACAATCAAAAAGGTGATCAGTACAACAAGATATACAGAGCATTGCAATTTGTAGACTGAACATACAATTAAGATTCAAGGATTTTACTTTTGATTTTAAAAAAAGTGAATCAGTTGGTACATATAGAGATCAAATCGCTACTGGATGGCAAACAAGAATGCAATCCAAAGAGACCAGAAAGAAAATTTCTCCAGCAAGATAGAAGAAGGGAGCTTGAGGGGAAGAATCCCACCCAAGGATCCAACCAGTATCTCAAGTCCACCAGACAAGGAATGGCCCCTCCTTTTCTCTATATTTAATGTCCTTTTTTTGACAATCCTCTCAAACTCTTCCTTGGAATCACATGGTCCCTACTTTTCTCTATTTTTGATCTCCTTTTTGGAAAATCCTCTCAAACTGTTTCTTGGACTCACATGTGGATAAGAGACCTGGAGGTAGGTTTGTGTCCACTTCTCAGTAATTTGCTCCTCACTACTGGTCTGAGTAATGCACAGGTCAAAAACCCTGTGGTGTCTCTTTTCTCCAAACATGTTCCCTGTATTGGGGATTCTCCAAAGAGACCCAGGCTCTTGGTCACATTTGTTTGTGATAATTAGAATAAAGACAGGCTCCACAAGAGTGGATCTCATATGGTTTTCTGTGGATAATTTAATAGCTATGTAACAGTCACCTTCTAATTTCTAGAATCTACTTGGTCTTATGATTCAAGTGATTTCCAGAAGGTTGAAGTGTGGAAATTGAATATACTTGAATCAATCTGAAACAGTCAAAGTTGTAAAACAAATTCATCAAAACAGTTGGAATCGGGGGTATGGTATGTGAATCCTCTGATAATATATTTACTGGATTGGCTTGATGAGTACTAGTGAAGCCACACTTGAAACTGTAGTATAAAATATCTTATAATCACCCATCCAAGCTTTCTACATGATTGAGCATTCATCAATGTAGCTCAATAGATATTTGATTTCGTCTTGGTATGTAAGTAAATTTATGGTTTGGCTAACAATATTTCTATCGAGATGTGAGATTCATATGTAATAATATGATTTTCCATTATGAATTGAGGTTGGTAATTTGAACATGTGTAATAATTTTTTTTTTTTTGGGGGGGGGCCTTGAAAGTTATCAATGTCTCCCATTTGTAGGGCACACTGCATAAGTGTGAAAATTTTCGTCGTCTTCACAGTCAAAGTAATCCTCAACCTTCCAGCATCTAGGGTTCAGACATCTAACGCTGGTCTTCCAAACTTGCTTTTGGCAAAGATCGTGTGGAACAAGATATGTACCACACAATGTGTGTCTTTGACAAGCTTCTAGGCGGGGCTGGCTTTGCCAAAGTGTAGTACTAGGACAATATCTGCACTTTGACATATCTACAGCAGCCACTTTCAGCTGGTTGATATCCCCAAAGAATAGTACTGCACAAATCAAGGCTTTTGCTGAGTACCTCATGGTGAACCAAGATGCAATTTAAGGCAAATAAAACTGAATATGATATACTGGGTGTTGGTGAGTAGATAAAAAAATACCAAACCAATTTGATGTCTTTGACTTGCCTCAAAATAATGAAGGGTGGTTTGAAGAACAATGGTGAATAATGAACTACCAACAGATGCTACTTTGATTGTTTGAAGGCTGAAGGATAGACAAGGATGGGAAGTTGATGGTGCTGTTTTATACCCTTTTTGAGAGATAGAAAACTGATAGCCTCTCACTTAGGGTTCCAAGTTGGACAGAAAATATCTGAAACATAGATAGGAAGTATTGAGGATAGTTTTTGAGAGATGAGAAACTGATAGGCTCTCACTTAGAGCTTAAATTTGGACAGAAAGTATTCCAAACCTAGATAAGAAGTATTGACAATAGTTCAGTGTGTTTATGTGTGAAGTCCTGTAGGTCTTGAACTTTGTGTCAGCAGGTTTCAAAAAATAGTGGTGTTCAAATTTCACTACATGTATTCATAAATTTAAATTCATAGATAATTTTGGTGGAGATTATTTAAGCAGTTCACAGACAAAAGTGATTTTCAATTTTCTATTTATGCATTTATACATGATCAAGATTGAACACTCCTAATGAATTTAATTTACACAGTACTGTAACACTGACATGACAAAGGTGCAATGATAAATAAAAGCTCAGGCCATCCAGGATCTCCAGGTGTCATCTTTACTAAACTTGAATCAATCCATGCTGCAGTCATGTCAGACACTGAGACACCAGCCCAGGTGTCTACAAGAGAATGCAACAACCTTGGGTTAAATCAACACTGAAACAGATACAATACACTGTGAGTATCATGGAGAATTCTGCATAGCTGCATGGCCAAAAACCAAATTTGTTGCATTTCCTTGCAAATAAAAGCACATTGGTCAGATATTTTTTTTTTTATTGGGTTTCAGATACATGGGGTGATGCATGGCAGATACATGGCAGATACTGTATCTGTTTCAGCGTTAGTTACATAATAATGAATGTTGTTACATGTATTCTTTAAGTTAATAATTATGTATTATTGTTGTTTTTCAAATTAATAATGATTTGCCTCTGTCTGTACATATTTATCTCTCTCATGATAATTAATTTTCCTTTCTCACGAAAATAATAATCAAAATGCAAAGGATAACTATCTCTTGTGTTTATCAAAGTGATGATTATCCCATATATCTCCCTTGTGTATCTCTCTTGTGTATCTTCTGAAACAATAGAGATATTCTACATATTTAATTCTATTTTCTGAAATAAGAGTAATATTCAACACATATACATTTGCATGTTTGAATACCTTGACACTTTCCCCCAAAGGAGTCATATTTTTCAATTAATTTTCATTATTTTTTGACATTTTAAATTCTTTTCCTACACTTTCAGACATGTTTAAAATGATGGTAAGAATCACTTTGCATAAAAATGAAAACTATCTCTTGAATAATGCATTTGACATGTTTTTTTAATTACTTCTTACACACTTAATTATCCTTATTTATTAGAATTTTAAGTTCATTTCCTACATTTTGAGATGTTTTAAGATTGATGGTTATATCCATATTGCATAAAAATTAGATATTGTTTGTTTGGACCTGGGTACCTGTTCATTTTTTCAAGAAAATAGATACCATGTACCGCACCAGGCACCTCCCGGCAGGTACTGTCCTCCATTTGTTTGTCTCTACATCTTGTGCTGTTCATTTTCTGCGGGATTGTGTGCGAGCATAGGACATTGAAAATTGTCACTATGGACCTTGGCCGTATCAGTTATATGGACAGTTCACACAACTTGTCCATTGAAAACAGAAAGCAGAGGAAGAGGTTTCAAGAGCATGCCAGGCTGCAAGAGCATAAATTCTCACTTGACATGTCAATTTCTCTAATTGATGATTTACACTACACTACATTTGTAGTGTAACTTCTACCGTAGCATAGCGTAATTAGGCATGTAGTTTAGTGTAGTTTAGCTTAATTTGGTATAAGTTACACTAAATGTTAGCTTCAAATCAGTTACACTATCTGATGGTCAAAATTTTGTTAGCGCAAAAAAAGTTACACTAACTGTTAGTTTAGCTGAGATCATTTGAAGCTAACACTAACAAAGAATTTGGGGGAAAAATTTACACTACGCTAACAGTTAGCGTAGTGGGGTTTAGCTTCAGCTAACACTACAGAATTTCCAGGAAAAAAAGGCCACTACACTAATAGTTAGTGGTCAAATAGCATAGTGTAGCGTAGCGGCCCACTGTTGTTAAAATCCTTTTGCATCTTGTTTAAGGTTTTTTTGAATTTTTTGTGACCATCATTTTATTTTAAAAACATAAAAAAACAAAGTCAAAAACAATTAAAAAGAATCTTGAAAAAAATGTTTGGAATTGTTGCCTTAAGTGGTTTCAAGAAAAGAAAAAAGGAGAAAAAAAGGAGAAAAAAAAGGGCCTTAATAAAAAAAACACAGTTTTACTGCATTTACACGTGGTTTCTGCTGTGGCACACACAGATTCTGCGTTTACACACGGTTTTTAATTAATTTTGGGGCTTGGGTAAACGACTCCCAAAAAGTGGAGAGCCGACTCCCAAGCCCCGGAATCCCCGACTTTTGGGAGTCGAACCCCCAAAACCTTCGACTGGTTTGGGAGTCGATGCTCCCAACAAAAATAATAAAAAAATAATAATCCCCCGGTTGGTTTAGGAGTCGATCCTCCAAAACCAACCAGGGTTTGGGGGTTGATGAAACAAAAGACCCACCAAAGCGGCCGGGAGGAATCTTCCCGGCCGCTGGGAGTACACTCCCGACGGCCGAGGGAAAACACCTCGGCCGCTAGTTTCCCTCGGCCCTCGGCCGCTGAGAGTACACTCTCGATGGCCGAGGGTGTACCTCTCAGCCATCGAGGGTACATATACACCTCGATGGCCGAGATGATTCCTCTCGGCCGTCGAGGGTAGAATTACACTCTCAACGGCCGAGGGAATCCACCTCGGCCGCTGAGTGCGCTTCTTGATGGCCGAGAGTGTAGCTCCCTCTCGGTCTTCGAGAGTGTACACCGGGAGTGTACCTCTCGACCGTCGAGAGTTGCAACGGCCGAGACTGTAC